ATTTCCTGGATCATCCTTCAGTCCCTTCTTACATATGAGCATTACATTGGCTGACTTCCAATCTGCTGAGACCTCCCCAGTCAGCCAGGACTGCTGAAAAATGATGGACAGAAAGCCCATTTGGGGAGTTCTTCTTTCCAAACACTCATTTCTCTCTCCTTCCTACTCAGTCTTCTCACTTAGTTACAGGTTGTTCTGCAACCAGCTAGTACAAAATCTCCATGAAGATATCTCACTACACCAAGTTCCCCAAATTTACAGACTTTCTAGCTCTTGCTGTTCGTAATCTATTAGGAGTACGGATCTGGATTTGGTTTTGGAGCACTATATTAAAACTAACATTATTCAGCCAGATCATTGTTCTCCTTTGCGAAGAGCAGTCCAGAACAGTGCCTTAGTGAATCACAGGATAATTTTTATATTTTCCTTTATTACAACTCTTAATTTACCATTTAATAGAGTGGAGCTGAACACAATCATCAAGTTCTTCAACTTTGCGAATTCCAAAAATTCACAGAGATACATTTTTGAAACAGCTTAGAAAAAGCCATAGGAAATGGCCTCCCTAAAGGGAGGGGAAATTAACAAAAACAGCCTATAAGAGAGGAATAACATGGAACGTTTTTTCTTTTCATCCCAGATGCAAAAAAAAGATTGCAGTCCTGTGACCCTCCATGTAGGACCTGTGAGAAATCTGCTGATGTATGTACTTCGTGTCCAGAAGGTAAGAGATTTCAGCTTCTTTGGGTAAGTTTTGCAAGAGGCTAAAATATTCTGTATCCTACACACTTCTAGGGAATATTGTCATCAAGAGGCACTAGGAAGTTCTTTGACAGCTTAAAGCATAGGTGGGTAATCAGATAATGGCCATCTGAAGTCAGACATCATCTAGGAATTAAGCATATGCCCTTGGCAATATGGGTAAAAAAAATCGTTAGGTGGATGTCGTTCCTTTTCTTTCTTTTCAATCAAAAGTTGTACACATGATGCAGGAAATACTGAATAGGGATTTATTCAGGAAGGTGTACTAGGTAATCCTGAGGATTCCTTTTAACGTTAAATTTCAGTGAAGGTTTAGCAAACTACTTTGGGAAATAGCTTAAAGAATTTAAGCTTAAAGTGTTTTGAAACATCAAAAAGTTAAATTTCAAGGAATTTGAAAGTTTTTTTGTAGCCATCCAAGGCAGGAATCTTCTAAATACACTTCTAATTGGTGCCTTTCCTCACCTGAGTTGATCTTTTGCCAGGAAAATTTCTTATCCATGATACCTGTGTTTCTCTGTGCCCTCCAACATCTTTTGGCAATGTTGCAAGTGGAAAGTGCGAGATGTGCATGGATGGCTGTGAGGTGTGCTCCGACCACTGGCACTGTCAGAAGTGTCAGGCTGAACAGGACCAGCCACTCTTCCTCCACGAAGGCAGGTG